CTGAAGAGGCTGAAGTTGACCAGTTCTATGAGGGCCTACAACACCTTCTAGAATTAACTCCAAAAAATGATGTCCTTATCATCATGGGGGATTGGAATGCTAAAGTAGGAAGCCAAAAGATACCCGGAATAACAGGCAAGTTTGGCCTTGGAGTACAAAATGAAGCAGGGCACAGGCTGGTAGAATTTTGTCAAGGGAATATGATGGTCATAGCAAACACTCTTTTCCAACAACCCAAGAGACGACTCTACACATGGACATCACCAGACGGTCAACACAGAAATCAGATTGACTCTGTGCTCTGCAGCCAAAGATGGAGAAGCTCTATACAGTCAGTAAAAACTAGACCAGAAGCTGACTGTGGCTCAGACCATGAGCTTCTTGTTGCAAAATTTAGGCTTAAATTGAAGAAAGTAGGGAAAAGCACTAGGCCACTCAGATATGACCTAAATCATATCCCTGATGAATATACAGTAGAGGATACAAATAGATTTAAGGAATTAGAACTGATAAGACAGAGTGCCTGAAGAACTATGGATGGAGGTTCGCAACATTGTACAGGAGGTAGCAACTAAAACCATCCCAAAGAAAAAGGAATGCAAGAAAGCAAAATGGCTGTCTGAGGAAGCTTTACAAATAGCTGAGGGAAGAAGGGAAGAAAAAGGCAAGGGAAAAAGGGAAAGATACACCCAATTGAATGAAGAATTCCAGAGAATGGCTAGAAGAGATAAGAATGCCTTCCTAAATGAACAGTGCAAAGAAATAGAAGAAAACAATAGAATAGAGAGGACCAGAGATCTCTTCAAGAAAATTGGAGATATGAAGGGAACGTTTCATGCAAAGACGGGCATGATAAAGGACCAAAATGGCAGGGACCTAACAGAGGCAGAAGAGATTAAGAAGAGGTGGCAAGATTACACAGAGGAACTATACAAGAAAGACCTTAACATCCCTGATAACCACGATGGGGTGGTCACTGACCTCGAGTCAGACATCCTGGAATGTGAACTCAAATGGGCCTTAGGAAGTCTGAGCAACAACAAATCCAGTGGAGGTGACAGTATTTCAGCTGAGCTATTCAAAATCTTAAAAGACAATGCAGTAAAAGTGCTACACTCAATATGCCAGCAAATTTGGAAAACTCAACAGTGGCCACAGGATTGGAAAAGGTCAGTTTACATTCCGATCCCAAAGAAGGGCAATGCCAAAGAATGTTCAAACTACCGCACAATTGCACTCATTTCACATGCTAGCAAAGTGATGTTCAAAATCCTACAAGCTAGGCTCCAGCAGTATGTGGACCAAGAACTACCAGATGTACAGGCAGGATTACGAAGAGGCAGAGGAACTAGAGATCAAATTGCCAACATACTCTGGATCATGGACAATGCTAGGGAGTTCCAGAAAAACATCTACTTCTGCTTCATTGACTATGCTAAAGCCTTTGATTGTGTGGATCAAAGCAAATTGTGGCATGTTCTTAAAGAGATGGGAGTACCTGACCATCTTACTTGTCTCTTGAGAAACCTATATGCTGGTCAAGAAGCGACAGTGAGAACTGGGCACGGAACCACTGATTGGCTCAAAATTGAGAAAGGAGTTCGGCAAGGCTGTATACCATCGCCCTGCCTATTTAACTTATATGCGGAGCACATCATGAGAAAGGTGGGCCTAGATGAATCACCAGTTGGAATTAAGACTGCTGGGAGAAATATCAACAACCTCAGATATGCAGATGGTACCACTCTCATGGCAGAAAGTGAAGAGGAACTAAAGAGCCTCTTGATGCGGGTGAAGGAGGAGAGCGCAAAAGTTGGCTTGAAACTCAACATTAAGAAAACTAAGATCATGGCATCCAGTCCTCTCACTTCCTGGCAAATAGATGGGGAAGAAATGGAGGTAGTGACAGATTTTATTTTCCTGGGCTCCAAGTCACCACAGACAGGGACTGCAGCCAAGAAATTAAAAGACGCTTCCTCCCAGGAAGGAAAACTAATGGCAAATCTAGACAGCATACTAAAAAGCAGAGCTATCACCCTGCTGACCAAAGTGCGTATAGTCAAGGCCATGGTTTTCCCAGTTGCAATGTATGGCTGTGAAAGCTGGACCATAAGGAAGGCTGAGCCCCGAAGGATTGAGGCCTTTGAATTGTGGTGCTGAAGGAGACTCCTGCGACTCCCTTGGACCACAAGGCAATCCAACCGGTCAGTCCTAGAGGAGATCAGCCCTGACTGCTCTTTAGAAGGCCAGATCCTGAAGATGAAACTCAAATACTTTGGCCACCTGATGAGAAGGTAGGACTCCCTGGAGAAGAGCCTGATGCTGGGAACAATAGATGGCAAAAGAAGAAGGGGCCGGCAGAGAATTAAGTGGCGGGATGGAGTCATGGAAGCAGTTGGCTCAGCGTGAGCTTAAGTGGACTCCGGGGGATGGTGGAGGACAGGAAGGCCCGGAGGAGTGTTGTCTGTGGGGTCGCGATGGGTCGGACGCAATTCCGTGACTTCCACAGCATAGCTAAGGACCCTGCTCCACCTCCAGCTTAGAGTCTCCAGCAGAAGCTCGCCAGCGCTGCTTTGCTTGCTCGTGCTGCAGGACTACCCCTCACTGTCCCGACCCAATGAAACTGGGAGGACACGGGCCTGAAAATAACTGAGGCCGAGCAGAGCAGGCAAGTCGGAACTTGGAGCTGCACGAGTAAAGTTACGCTAAGCCTCCAAACAATTCATCGTCACTATACTTAATTATCACTATTAAAATTCTTTAAGCTGTTTATTCTTGTTTCCTTCCTTCCTTCTTCCTCTGCTGAAAGCAAGGAAATTTTGTTTTAACAAGTTGAAAGTCTTTTGTTGGTCTCGCTCTGCTCCCTCCCCTTCACTTATGCCCCTTTAATTAAAAATGTTTGCTCCAAGATCATCGTTGTGTTTGCATTTCCCGTTTCCTTTTCTTTTAAATCAAACCAGCCTGAAAAGCAAATTTCCACATCTTGCTATGTCACTCCAAATTTTCTGTATAGAAAATGCACCCACCACCTGAATACAGCCTGGGGAGAGTTCAGACTCTTTCTTTCTCAATGCTTTTCTCTGCAGAAAAATAAAAAGCAAAAAGACGCCTCCAGCAGGGGGATAGCAAGCAGTCAGCAAATCATGTGCTGTCTGGGAGAGCAGTGCTGTTTAAAGAGGCTGCCTGGGCTGGGAATCCCAGAGGATGCCCATGTCCCAAACATATGCCGGATGCATGGGGCTCCCATGGGGCGAAACGTCTCGCCGCTGCCCAATTTGCAACCCAGCAAGCTGGGGGGGCTCACCACTCACGCTGGAGGTGTCGGCCACCGGCCACCCGCCACAGGTCACGGCGCTCGGTGCATCACAAGTCCTGCAAGCCTGATCTAGGGGTTTGTGCTGGTGGTCCTGACCCAAAGCTCAGAAGCAGCTGGATCAAGGCGTGCTGCGAGAGAGGGGTGGGGATGGCTCTGTGTGCGTCTTGTCGTCCCCCGATGGAAATGACTTCGGCATCTTTCTGCTCTGAGCCACTCTGACCACACTTGCCATGGCAGCTTCCACGGGGCTCTCATTATTCCAGGATGCCCTGCAGTCCGGACAGCCTTTCTGTTCCTCCCCATCCACCTGACCCTTGCCAGGCTCCTTGCAAGGATGTCAATGCTACGGACACGGGCCAGGGACTCCCTTCCGAACTCTCCATCCGAGGCTCGTGCACGGATAGGGGTGACCGTCCCCCCAAAGTTGCTATGCTATCCATTCATGTATTCCTCTCTGCCCTAAAGTACCTGCCCCCTTTCATCTCTTTGGGTCCTACTGGTGTTTCTTGGGGGACGCACGGTCCACCGCTCACAGATTCGGGCCCCGTCACATCCAGCCAGCACCGCTTTTGCAAAATCGCCTTCCCCTGCACTGAACAGCTTTGCAATGCAGAGAAACCAAAGAGAGGCACTGCATCTGCTGCGGCCTCAGTTTAACATTTCTCAACAACTATATATACTTTGGAAGGCAACTCCCTTTAGATTATGCCAGTTTTTAAGTAGGTCACATTTTTATGCCCAGCTTCTCTGACCAGGTTTCCTCTGATGATTAACAAAACAAACCCCAAAGTCTTCACGATTCACAGGGAGAGATGCCATTCAAAGCATCTTACAGGCTGTGCTTGGAGCACAGTTGCCGCTCTTCCTTTGGCCCAAGTGCTCATTCTTTTAGCCCATCAAACAGGCACTACTTTCCCCACGGAGAGGGGCCCTGTGGGTAAAGCAGAGGCTCTGAGCAGAGGGCCCAGAGACCAAATCTGGACCTCCAGGAGTGCCCCCTCTCCCTGTCCTGCCCCCTCACTGGGTGGCTACCTGGCTTTTCTACGTCAACCCACCTCCCCATCTAAGAGATGTACTCACCTCTCCTAAGGCTGCGTTACTAACAAGGAGGACTTGAAACGACATGCCCCCTTTTGGGTCCCACCTGGCGTGAGAATGCAACCCTGAAAGTGCCTCCACGGGAGAACTCAGCAGATGGGGGGCTTCGCACCCATGCAGCAAAGGGCGACACAAAACCCCTTTGCAGTTCCGCTGCCAAACTTCTGTGAAGCCACGGGAGTGTGCACTCTTCAGCCCGATCTAAAGTCACACCTAAGCCTTTTCAATCGATCCTGTGCTGCCTGGTTTTGCACCTGGGGACAACAATTCTGGCTTGGGGGCCAGATTACCACCCAAGGCAAACCAACCGAGTGCCTGCGCTCCCTGCCTCTCTCTGCACAGAGAAGGGGATTCATCCAGCGGGTGCTGAAGCTGACATGTGCAAGCCATTTTGGGCTGTTCCCTTTGCTCTATGTCTGGCCCAATCAGGGCACAGCAAAGAGGGGTGTGGTGCGAAGAAGGTCCCACAAAGTCCCCTTGTTTTGGGAACAATGCCAGGTAAGGCAGGAGTTCTCAACACTTCACAGGCCGGACTGGGCCCAAGCGTCTGGGGTTGCCCTTGGCTACTTGACATAAAACCCAGGATGTTCAAGGGGTCACACGCTACCAAAACCACTTTCTGGGCTAGAGGCGCCTGCTCACACCACGGAGGCAGCTGGCCAGCTGGACAAGCGGGTCTTGCATCTCTGGAATGATGGAAATCCAAAGACTACAATTTTTCTCTGAACAAGAGTCGATTGTCCAGCCCTTGGCACAGCAAATCTTTCCGGTGATGCACAGTTCATGCGTATACAAACCAAACCTCAACGTGCACCGAGTCCTTTTTCTGCCCAGCAAACCGCACAGAAAATCAGGGTGTAGAAGGTACTCACCCAGTGGCTTTTGCTCATCATTTGGAGACAGCCGTGAGTAAGGAGGGGGTGGAGATTCTGAAAAGGAAGTGGGACTCGTATTAACACCATCTGGGAGTTTAACTTGCGGGCAGTTTGTGCTTCCACCCCAAGAACTGAACCATTCGGTTAAACTTCATCACATTCATAGAAACAGGGTCTGAGAGCTTTTCACTTCAAGACGAAGGTAAGGCCACAGGTAAGGTCTGGAAAACTTGGGAGCTTAAAAGCAACAACCCCGAGTAGAAGTTCCCATGCTAAGCAGCTGCATGTCAATTCACAGGGCATGCTAAATGCAGGGAGCAAACAGATTCACATGCATCAGGGAAGCCTTCCCCGATGGCGATCCTGGCTGACTATTATGGGAGCTGTAATGCAACGCATTCCGGGACGTCATGTCGGCAATGGCTGCAGCAGAGGGTGTGTTTGTGTGCATCTTTGTGTGCGTAAGATGGATCCTATGGAGCCAAATGGCTGCAGCCCTCAGCCCCATTCTCTCCTGGAGGAGTCCCATCAGTTCAAAGTAGACTTTGTTGGCCGACTGCCTCCTGAATGTTCACCAGGTGTACAATCCACACTATGCCTTACCAGGTAAAAAAGCCATCAATTCCTAACCTGGAAGTTAAGGACCACTAATTTCTAAGTGCCAGAAATCTCTTCCTAGTATATACTGACAACTGCAGGGGCAGGGAATACACATCCCAGATTCAGTACAACTTATTTGAAGATTGCAAATGGAGTCATGTGCTACTGCTGTCAACACGGCAACTTTTAAAAAAATCACTTGTTTATGTCACTTTTTCTCCATCATCCTAGTCCCAAAGAAAGTGGGGAATTGTAGTTTTTAGAGGAGACTGAAAATTCTATTTTCCAAGTTCCATAGCTAATTAAAAAAAAAACACCCTACAATTCCAGGGCTCTTTTAAGGGCTGAGACAGTCAAACTGGTTTCTATCTGTAGAATGAAACTGATTTAACTCCGCAGTAAGAACATTCCAATAACGCTGTCACATTTTTGGAGCAGCACTTCCTTTGCAGGGTGTGCAGCCACGTTGGATCCATCCAGACCCCTCTGCAAATCTACGCGCATCTGTTACAAAGAACATGGTGTACAGTGTTCCAGTAATATTCGAAGGAAAACATCCCTTCCCTCTCCCTGTAGGAAAGACACGAAGTGACTGGAGTTCAGCAGAATCAGGACTGCAAGACAAATAAAAATAAGGACCGCTTATTTCCTCCTTATTTTGAAGGAGAGAGTGTTAGTAGAACTTTTAGAATTCTTGAGAATTTTTATCTTGAAATGAAATTTTTATCTTAAGTGATGAATTAAGGAGGGAGAAAATTAAGCAGACACACATCCATGGACCACAAAGGAGCTAACGAGATCCAGGACCTGCCACTTGTCTCCAAAAAACGTTCTTTTCATGCTGAACTTCCGGAATATCATTCTTGGGAGAAGGGAAAATTCATAAAACTAATGTGTTCAGCTTCAGATAGCTGGTTCCTCCTCCTCTAAGGGGGTGATGACAGAGAAGTACAGGTTTTGCCACTTTTAAAAATGTTTGCAAAAAGGGAAAAACCCACTTGCAATAAAAAAAGTGGGGAAAAGAGACACTGCAGCTTTAAGAGACGCAGTCAGATAAATTGCCAGTCAGCCTGGCGCCAGCAAAATGCAAACTGCATATTATCACCACTTCTTCACCTAAATAGCGAAGAGGGGGAACCTCCTTAGCAAAGAAGGGGGGAAAGAGTCGGGGGGGGGAGCTTTTTCAGCACAACTTGAAACTGATCTCAACTGAAGGGGCTAGCAGCCCCCCCCCCCAAACACGGGGAGCTCTGTGCGCGTGTTTTCTTTTTAATTCTCCCATTCTTTGCCTCAAGAAACCAGCAGTTTTTTGTACTTCCCCAAAGAAATGTTACTCCAGCAGAACCTAAATGATAGCAACTTTGTGGATTCAATTACCGCAAAATGACAGACAGATGGAGTTTGCTTGCTAAAGAAAACAGGTACTGGGGTCCCATGGAGCCTGAACCCCTTGGGGGGGACCTCAGTGGGAAGGGGCTTGCTTCTTTGCAAACATGCCTGGGACGGTGCTGTTAAGCAAGTCGGCCTCACGGCACGTTTCTTTCCAAGCCACGCAAAGCCTGAGGCGCTTCTGGGTGGAACATGTGTCCAAGCACATTCTGTCTCCACAGTCCCAGCCCCTTTGGAAGTCAGACCCCAGGTGGGGTTATCGCTTATGCCCCGTGTTGCTGCAATAAAGATCCAGGGGCCGGGTGCCAGTGTGGGGGAAGTTGGCGAGCGGACCCCTGGCCCCAGAGCAGCAGAAACTCCTGCATGCAAGCAGGGCAGGGCAGGGCAGGGGGCTCTGCTGGGTGGGGCGCCGTGAATGTGAGGACTGGCTCCAGAGCACTGCGACTCCAAGCTGCTGAGCCCCCCGCCCTCGGCCCTTCCAGCAATGAACTTTCTTGCAGAGCCGCATGGAGCCTGCCCCGTCCCCAGAGCGCCGGGGAGAGGAGCCCACGCAGGCGGTGCTTGGAGTGGGAGGGCCACAGGCCCCTGCGGTGGGGACACGAGCCCGGGGGGGGGGGCAGGGAGCGGAAGGCCATGCTCCGGCCTGGGCGCACCCACCCTCCCGAGTCCCCCTGCCACTGGGCACCCACAGAACCGCCTCCGCCCTCCCCCTCCCGCACATTCCAGCCCCTCATGAAGGTTAACCTCTTCCTGGCCAGTGAGACGACGCTGCGTTTCCTCCTCGATGCGCCAAAGCTCCCCCACACCCCGAGCCGAGAGGTGGCCACAGGTCATCCACCAAAGGACTCTGTAAGAGCCTGCCCAGGCTGGGGCGGGGGGGGGCAAGAGGGAGGGGCAGACCCCGAGCCCATCCAGCCCAGTCCTGGAAACACTGACCAGCCCTTCTGGCTCACCAGGGTTTCCCTCGGCCCAACCTAAAGCGCTGGGGATGGGACCTGTGGTAAATGTGAAAGAAGGAGCTCTCTCAGGTAACCTGGTTACCTCCAGGTGCGAGGAACTTTTTTTGGCACCAAGCCCCACTCCACCTGTACTCCAGAGCGAGACACAACCAGGTGGCCACTTGACCTGCTCAGCTGCTGGTGGAGAGAACCAGGTAGTAGTTGCAGTTGGACAAAGCAACAGTAATTTTGTTAGCTCCTTTGAAGATGTCCCTGGAGAGGCAGGATCTGTGTTTCATACATTCAATAACAAACCACAGAGAAACTCGACATACAAGTTTCCAGTGAGGGGAGGTGATCCGGCCTTCCAAGTGTTCCCGGGCCTTGTTCACACCTGTGTAAGCATCACAGGTAATGCAACATCAGGCGAAGGAGCGCAGGCGTGCACGCTGCACCTTGCCCACAGCACCTCAAGCACAAGCCTTCTCAGGTGGAAACCATTCACACAATCCGCGGGCAGCCAGCAGGTGCACAGCCGTGGCATGCAGATCAGAGAGGTTAGGGGACATACGGGCACGGGGTATCAGCCCTCTGAACATGCTTTAGGACTGGATGGATGCAAATGGAAGACAGAAGCAAGGCTAAGCTAGGACGCAATGCAATACCAGCTCAGGACTACGGTATTCTCACATGTTCCCCCCACGCTTGTGTTCCAGGTCATGGTTAAAGTGACACAAAACTCTCTTTCCATGTGCGAAAACAGGCGAGCTTTCCCTAATTTGAGGTACGAAAGGGAGGAGCTGAAATGCAAGCAAACTGTCTGGCTTCGCTCTGGGCCTTTCCGCTGAGCAGACGCTAAAGCACCCCCACTTTCAGATTATTTACCAATTCCTTCCTTCCTTCCGCCGTCTTTCCCCCAGCCCTGAAACTTCGTCTGAATGAAAAGAAAGCCTGCCAAGTCAGCAGCTAGAAGGCCCTTCGCCAAACCGGCTCTCCCGCCATGGGGACAATATCTGCCTGCACCGCCACATGGCAGCAAGCGGGGACAAGGGAAAGCAGAGGCCGGTCACAGCCCTCCAGAGCGTGGCCTGGGCCGGGGAGCGCGGAGAAGCTGCTCGCCGCAGGTGGCGCAACGCCTGGCGCAAGCGAGCCGGCGGCACGGCTCCCGATTTCTCAACACTGGGTGATCTCCACTTTTGACTACTGGGAGCTGCAGGACGAGGCCACGGAGTCCACGGAGCCACGGAGCGGGGCAGCCTGCCCGAGGAGGCGTTTGGAAGTTCTGGCAATGCTGCGGGAGCCATGGGGCGCTGCGCCAGGCAGGCCACTGCCTGATCACAGCACTGGGTTGGATTCGTGCGCTCACTGACCAAGCGTTTCTTCGAGGCGGGCTCAGGCTGGCTCGGTGCCGGGTGGCCTGCTCTGGTGACCCCTCAGAGCAGCACCTCACCCATCTGCTACTGCCGCTTCACACCACACTGAAAAGCAATTCCAAGGAGCCGTGGGGCGGGTGGTCACTGTTTCTTCAGGACACCCCAAAGCCCATGCAAGAAGCAGTCCTTAGACCAAAACTGTCACCCGCCAGGTGGCCCCAGAAACTGCCTGTACCCTTTGTGTGTCGGGGAAAGTAACTCCAGACCAAAATTCCTGGAGTAAGAAGGAAAGCGCAGGCAGGCGCAAGCTGCGAACAGTGATGCCCTCGCGATGCGCCACCATCTCAAGCTGCAGAATGATACCAGGATTATGAGCTGATGCAGAACATCAGCAGAAATCCAAGCTGGCTGCACGTGTCGTGCAAAAAACCGGCAGCCCAGGATTATGGGCTTTCAAAGTCCAAGACCTGGAACTAAAACGGGTGCTGGAGCTGAGCACTGCTCCAATGCACAGAGAAGGAAAGAGACCCCAGTGCTCAAGAATCCCCTGGCACCTTCCGGGTCGCAGGAAGCTACCTGTGGCATCGCCTTGCCTGGACATGCCACTCTCCGAGTCCACCATGGCCTGACCATCTGCCTTGTGGGAATGGTCCACTTTACAGCAAGCTCCTCTCTTTCCTCAAAACCTGTCGGGGGAGGGTCTGCGTTCCAAAGAGGGCGGGGCCAGGGCCAAAGTGGGTGGGGCCACAAATACTACCATTAACGGCAGTGAGGAAAGGAAGCATCCCAGGTATGGGGGTGTCCTGCTTCTCCAAGCTGTGCAGTCTCCCCCAGCCCCTCCTAGTTGGAAGATGGAGGAGGGCAGGATAAATCCCCCACAACCAGAAGCCAGGTCTGTGAAGGGGCGTGCCAGGGTAGCCCAAGGGCTTACAGTTCCCCACCCGCATTTGAAGCAGTCAGGCCTTGACTTTGCAGGAGAGCCTATTCCCTCTGGGACTTGTGTCCTTGCAAGTTAAACATCCTTTTGCACCCCCAAGAACCGAATTCTCCCCCTGGAGCTGTTGAAGCATCAGGAGCTGGGCCCCGCATTCCCTGCCCAGCAGCTTCTGCCCAGGCCCGCGGGGCTGCTGATGGCGGGGACAGCCTTCCCGCGGCGCGCCCGGCCACCGAATTCCCGGGTACCCGAGGACAGCGATGCCGAGACGGCCGGGGCTGGGGTACCCTGCCGCGAGTCAGGCTTGCCACCCCAGAGACCGCACCCGCGGTCTGGTCCTGGCCCCCTGGGCTCGCAGCGCCCCGTGCGCCCCAGCAAGCTGCCCTCCCCGCGGAAGCGCGCTGGAGCCTTACCTGGGCCGCACAGGCGGCTGAAGTGATACGGGTTGCAGCACACGGTGGGGCCGTCGGGGAGACCGAAGCTGCGGCACCCACAGAGCGGCTTCAGCTCGGCCGGGTGCTGGAGGTCCGGCCAGCGAAAGAGCTTGCCCAGCAGGAGGTGCGGAGGGGCGGCCTGGCCGCCCACGCGCACCTCGGCGCGGGAGACGAGGACGCAGCCGCTGGGCATCCCGCCGCGGGACTCGACGGCTTCGAGCAGGCTGTCGAGCGACCGCTCCTTGAGGCGCTTCAGCAGCGCGTACGTGCCGGCCTTCAGCTCCTGCTCCAGCAGCGACAGTCCGCAGCGCCCTTCCCGGGCCGGCGCCTCCACGGGCAGCGCGGCGCCGCCGCCGCCGCCGCCGCCAGGGCCCCTCTCCTTGAAGAGGCAGCACGTCACGGTCTTGCCATCGCTCTCCTGCGCCCACCACGGGCTCTCCGCCTCGGCGGCGCCGCCGCTCCCGCCGCCCGCCGCCGCCTCTTCTTCCGCCTCGGGGGGCGCCGGTGGGTCGCCGTCGCCGTGCGCCATGGGCCTCTCCAGAACGCACGGCTCCTCGACGGCGCCTTCGCCGGTCACCGCTCGCCTGCCGCTCGAGGGGCGCTTCTCCGGGCTCCCGCCGTCGCTGCCCCCGCGCTCACGGCTCCCGCTGACGCCGCCGCCGCCGCCACCATCCCCTCCTCCTCCTCCGTCGGGGAAGACCCGGCTTCTCCAAAGTCGCCGCACAAGCCCGGCCCGTTTGGACCTGAACATACGCCTCGCCCGGCGCGGAGCTGCTGGCCGTGGCTGGCTCCGTGTCAGATCCGCCGCATGAAGGAGGCCCAGCGGGAGCCGCAGGCGCGGCGGCGCTGTCCGGAGCAGCAGCGGGGGCTCCTCGCCAGCCCGGCCCCGCCAATCGCCGAGAAGCGGCCGCCGAGCTGCCGCATGAGGGCGGGCAGGAGCCCTGGCATAGAGCAGCCCCGCAGGCTGGGGGAGGCGAGCCCGGCCGCCCGCCCGCCCGGGATCCGCCGCCGCCGCCGCCGCCGCCCCCTCGGCCCTACATGGATCGCCGGGCCCCGCGTCCGGGGGCCCTCCGTGCGAGTCCGGTCGGCCTGGGAAGGAAGCTCCCGGAGGAGGGGCCCCTCGGAGAGCTCGGCCGTCAGACGCTCCCGCGGCAGAGACCGACGCGGCGGGGGCTGCGCGCGTCGCCTTCCGTGCTCCGGCCGGTCTGCGTGCTGCGGGCGCTCGGCGCTGCACGCCCGCGCCGTCGCTTCCTCGGCGTCGCAGCGCGGCTCAGAAAGTTACCCGCAGTTCCAGAGGTCGCGGCTGGTCGCCCCCCGGGGCAAGAGGCGGGCTGGCCGCGCGGCGCATGGCTCGGCCGGGGGCGAGGATCCCGGGCAGCCGCGAGGCGGG